ATGAGATGCATGCTCTCTGGTTACAAGTCAAGACATGATTGTACTTACAATACGACCGGGAAAACAAATATATGTTCCATAGAAACTCATTACACATGACGCTCAAAGTTTTAAGGAAAATCAAAAGGTTAAATTCAAAATCATTTGATACAAAATGTGACTGATATATATATAGATTTCTACAATTAATAATCAATTGGTTTGTTCCTCCTATTCCTACATTTTAAATCTGGTATGTCATTTGTAAGAAATCCATGTATGAATAGGAAGAATACTTGAATAAGCAAAGGATTAAATCAGATTAGGTTGTAAAATCATAAAGCTAATTAACTTCAGGTAAATAGCCATAAAACCTTTTGAGTTTTCATCAATGTCCAACTTGAGAATATCAGCAGTAAATAGATATAAGAAGATGTGGTATGAGTGCCAATGAGACAACTCTCCATCCAAGTAACAATAGATATAAGAAGATGTGGTATGAGTGCCAATGAGACAACTCTCCATCCAAGTAACAATAGATATAAGAAGATGTGGTATGAGTGCCAATGAGACAACTCTCCATCCAAGTAACAATAGATATAAGAAGATGTGGTATGAGTGCCAATGAGACAAGTTGTTGTCTCATTGCAATTCTTTTGTATCTTTATTCAGTTTTATTTCATTTTTCTATCTTTTTGTGTTTATTTCCTCGTGTAATGAAAAATCCTTGTCATTGAGTGAATTCTTCAAAACGAATTGCTAAAAAGTACCCCAAAAAATAGATATTACTAACACAATGATACAAGCAGTATTTAAGCACCATTTTATACGTAAAGCACTACAATAAAAAATATCCTGTACTTAAGAGAAAAAGATATCAAAATTACTAGACAATATAATATGTTTAGATATGATAATTTATCATAAAATTAGTCCATTTAAAGCAAGACTTCTACAAGACTTCAAGGGTTCTACACAACGCATGTTAGAGGAACAATAAGAAAATTAACAAAATGCTACATATTTTCAAAATATCAAAATTGATCACAAATCCATTCTATATAAACTCGTAATATTCTGGGGCTAAAACATGAATTGGTCCTATCAATGGGTCCTAGGTGCGATACTTGTAGCATCTGGGTACTATCTTACTTTGAGTGTTCTGAAGTGTAGTTTAAATTTGACTTTGCCTATTCAATCTTCTACTATTGTAGCATGTATCCAAGCATCAAGGCTATCTATTAAGATTACGGTTCATATTTTAAACTATATGTGTAATATGTATAATTCAATTTGAATTTTCATTTTGGTATTAAGCCTTTTCTTCCTCATTACTTTTCATATTTGAAATATTTGGAATTTCTTTTTATATAAATTCAAAGTGCATTTCTATACTTAATTTTCTAATTCATTCTCTGCAATGCATTCATTTTTCATAATTCTTCATAAATATGTAAAAAGGTTGTATTTGTATTACCCCCCTCCCCCCACCTTTTTTCAGTGTTACTGGGGAATAGAAATATGATCACTTAGGTCGTATTCCGACCGGCAGTAAAACCCTTTCCAAAGTGCGGCTTCCGTTTGGCTGTGCAGGATGTAAATGTACGTAACCACGTCCAATAAACCCTCATTTTCCAGTGCTAGTCCAAATTTCCACTGACCTTACACGACCTTGTAACTATTGGATTAATATTTGATTTGTACTCGTCTTGAACTTGCATGCAACATTTGCCACTGGACGTTAAGCAATCAGCAATCAATCTATTGTGCATTGTTTGCACTTGTTTACCTGTACATATAAATAAATCTAAATTGCTATAATAACAAATTAGCTAACAACAGCTACTGAGCTTTGTTTGTAGGAATAGAAGGAATATATATATTTAGATGTAGGGATATAGCAGAAAGACACCACTCACTTGTGTGTCAATCTAATTAATCTCTAATCATTTAATGAAATAGACGGAATGAAAATTTTCAAATGGATACTACACTAGAAACATAAGACGTGTAGTTTATCAAAATTAATAAAAGACTTAGTGTTCGGCGTACAAAATTTGAGAATTTGTAAAACACGATTTTCAAATATTGGCAATAATCTAAATATTTGACACAGATCTTTAAGAAATTAAAAGACGCCTTTATGTTTTTTGTGTTGGTGGGTTGCTGTCTCATAAAGTGCCAGTCTTTGTAAAAATCAGGCAGTTTAGAAAAATTTCAAAACATGGCTGAAAAAAACCCACCGACCTAACCACCCTATTTTAAAGGTACCATTATCCAGAGTTAGAAATAGTAGGGATCTCGTTTATGCGTGTCTGGTAATTCGAGAAATATCTAGATAAATTTTGGTTAGAATGATAGCAAATTACGGAGTTATCTCCTCTTCATTGTTAATTTCTAGTGCATTTCAACCAAATTATATCTTGAATTACCAGAACAGGGAAAGAAAACGAATGTTATATTCATGCACCATTATCCATTCTGAACTTAAATTAATGTAAAGTTGAGCGGGTTTTTGTTTGTCATGTTTTCACCACTGCCTGATTCTTAGGCAGATTGGCACTTAAGGTTTACTCCATATCTCCTCTTCAATATTCATAAAAAGACAAACTTCCAAAAGTAACTAACAAAACTAAAAAACCTAAAAAATACAGAAAACAGTCAACAGCAAAGAACTCGAAATATTTTTCGAGATCAGTATCTCGTTTCAATGTAACACAAAATAGAATTAACGATAATTATGTTCAGTGCATTTTCAATATAAGGTGAAGCGAGTCAAAAAGGTTTTGAGAGTAATGCTATTTTGCTTTCCTTTCGACATCTTGACAAAACAAATTGTGCATATTCAAATTATCTTCAACCTTGAAAATACGACTTTAAACAGTTTAACAATATATTTCACAATTTGGAAAAAAAAATAAACAGTGTATTCAACGTTATCTAGATCAGTTTAACTTAACATTCAATAAATAAACTCATCATAGATACCAGGATTGAAATTTTGTATTTGCGCCAGACGAGCGTTTCGTCTACAAAAGACTCATCAGTGACGCTCGAATAAAAAAAAGTTAAAAAGGCCAAATAAAGTACGAAGTTGAAGAGCATTGATGACTGGATCGTCGTTTGGTTACTATGTTGGAGAATGTGGTGTTGATAGCAGAATTTTGATTGTTCCTGGTTTTTTTTTTTTTTTTTTTTCACGACTTTTATATACACTGGACGATTTAGAGCTTGACATATTGTAAGGACACCTGACATATTATGAGGGACACCTGACATATTATGAAGACACCTGTTCATTATTGAAAAATAAATTTTGCCCTTTAGATGTCTTTTGGTAGTTTTTGTCACATTGGCATATAATACCCCACTTTTCTATTTATTCATAAAAAAGAACTAAGACTCATATCTTTCTTACTTTTACATTAAAAATCAACAAAATCTAACATTAAGATTAGGTTATTTTTTTATGGCGTGTAAATATTAAACTGAGTCTCAAAATCTCAGACTGTAAAAAAAATGTCATCTTCATCTGAAAAGCTTAAAAACAAATGTTGACGCAGCAGAAATTGTATAAATGCATGACAAATCATAGAATCAAAACGTTCCGTAAAGATCCAATTGTCCATAGGTGTCAAATGCTATCCAATATTCATGGTAATTCTTAATAATCCTTTTATGTCTTATCTGAAAATGATAATTTCATAATTCGGCTAGTATAATATCCGTAAAGCTGTAAAGTGAAACATAATTTAAAATGTAAAAATAGAAAGACTTGGTATATATCAATGGGACAATTAAAATTAGCAGTCGAAAAATAGAGAGACAACGCAATTTCTAAAAATAAAAGCTGGAACAAGTGGCACCCGTCGTAAGGTAATAAATCGAGTTATGTGCTTGTCATTAACGAGGAAATGAAAATGAGATAACTGTGACGACACATTAAACACATCTGATGTCATCAGTGGTCACCCAAGTCATGATAATGTTCGTAAAACTTTCAACGTTACCATTTAAAACCATAGGGTCAGACGCTTACTTGCAATCAGCAAGCCTATACATGGAAATTCGGGCTCTTCTTTGTCGCTTCAATTGTTAAAGATATACTCCATATATTTTTTAATGTTACATAATGAAATGGAAATTTCACAATGGGAAATTCATGACTTTTGTCGTAAAGTGTTGTCATTAGCCAAATAGAAATAACATTCGTCGCATTAAATAGTCAACTATATCATATATCTTTATATGGAAATATTTTGATCTGCATTGATAGGAGGATGAATGGTCAAAGTCATTATCTGACCCCTTAATTTGCAAACTTCGGTCCTTTCAAAATTATGTAAATTTTATTGATAAATGAAAAAAAGATCTTCTCCCAAAAGATATTTTACCATCATGAACACCTTAGTATAAGACATCTTGTAGCAAAATATCTTCTTGATGTGGTCATGGCTCACATCTAAGTAGTAAATACAAGCTATCAAAATGTGGTATTTTAGAAATGTTTGCATTGCAAACAAGAAGTTTAAACCCGTAAGCAAATATATAAGACACAAATTAACTATAAATGTTAATATCTGACAGACAAAATAAAAGTCTAGAGAAAATCTGAAGAAATAGTATTTGATGAATATATATTTTTTTTTCAAGATCATATTAATACCGATAATAAATTTTTTTCCAGAAAAACGTGTTACACGCATGAAATCATATTTGATATTTTTATATTTTACTTGATGGATTATTGCATTATTTGATAAAATCCATAAATTGGTTTATTTTATTTCTAACAAACGGCTGTATTGTGTCTGATGAAAAATATTTTTAACTGTTTGCTTGGTTTTTTTTTTTTTGGTTTTTTTTTTTCGCAATGCTTATTTATTTATTACTTATTATCTATTCTTTATCCTTAAAATGATTATCTTTTTCATTGGGAAAAAAAACACAAAAAAGGGCAATAAAAAAATCCCCGATTCACAAGTGCAGTCTTGACCAAAATATAATAATTTGTATCTTACCGGAAAGTTAGTAAATACTCCACCAGTAGAGCATCCTGAAATATTATTTGAAGAACTGGAATTCATATCCATTGAATTAAGTCAGTATCAATCATAAACTGATGTCGCGGAAAACAAATCACACTGGTGTTACGTTAAAAACAATTCTTAAAAAGCAGTTGTTTTTAGTCTGCTGCAAGAGTCACATCTATATGACATTAAAAAATAATCAAATCTTAAAAGTAAGGTGTTTTAGTCGACTGCAAACTGCACACTGGTGTAACATTAAAACATTTCTCAATAATCAGTTGTTTAAGTCAGCTTCAAACTTCACACTTAGAAAACGATGAAGTATTTACTAAAAATCAGTCGGTTCGTTTCGGCTGCAAAACTCACACTATTGTTACATGAACATTTTTTAAATCAGTTGGCTTAAGTAGACAGCAAACTTCAAACGTTATTTTTTTTTTCTTTTTAAAAACAGCTGTTTTTAGTCGGCTGCAAGCACACACACTGATGTTAATTAAACATATCGTACTATTCTAAAAACTAAATAAATAAAATAAAAAATGTACAAAGTCTTATTTATCACTTCTTCCCGCCTACTAATTCGTCCATTAATAAATCCGACCTAAGTTAAAGATGTTGTGTTACAATTTAAAGTTTCTGTTCAGTCGAGTGATAATTTAACACATCCTTCTTGTCAAACTGACAGCTCAAATCTGAAATGACAATGTTCCTTATTACTAATAGTATAATTATACGTATAATAGTTTGGTTATTGAGTATGTGTCTATTGATTGACTGATTGTAATCCTTGCTTGGATTGCTTAGGCTTTTGATTGTACAGCGATAAGATTCTTTTATAACATTCAATTCTACTTCAATCTGTCTTTTAATCCTTGCTTGGATTGCTAAGACTTCGACTGCTTACAGCGATACGGTTTTATTATAGAATTCAACCGGTCTATTGTAGCAAAAATACTTTAATACGACTCTTTTATAGCTCTCAAGTTCTACTGCAATCTGTCTTTTTTTGTCAAAAATACTGTTTGAAGCATTACAATTTTACAATTGCATAGCTCATTTTCTCAAATCTTATAATACCATTGATTGCTTTAAGTTTTGAATGTTTGCAGCGATACGGCTCTTTTATAGAATGCAATACGTCTATTGTAGCAATAATACTTTTATGAAGCATTACAATTCTAAAATTCCATAGAGCATTTTTTAAATCATTTTTAATTTGAACTGCGTTCTTCCTCTTTGATTCATGATGGATTCTTTCTGTCGTAATCGACTATGTCTGGCGTTATCAGTTGTAACACCTTTTTCAGATTAGTAATCGTTTCATCTATCTTATTTTTTTTTATTTTTTTATATTTTATTGTTTCATGTAAAGCAAATTATTGACTATTGAATGCATTTCAAAATATAATGATCTATTCATCAACATTTTTAAATAGTTTATATTATTCGTTGCGCTTCAACCTATTACAGCATAAGTACAATGTACTTTGATATGTACTATAATTTGCCTTATTGATAGGTGTACCATGAAATTCATTTTCGTTGGTTTAGGGGGTCGACCATTTGATATACGGGCAGGGGGGCTTTTGCAGGTTGATTTTGGAAAAACATATTCTGATTATTCTGTCCACGTAAAAACTAGGGGAAAATATATTAACCTTGCCGGGATGCAGTCTGACTAAAACCAGCCCCCACTATCCACTTGCGTTTTTGATAGTTGGTGCTGGTTTTAATCTGACTTGCCGGCATGACAATGAATATTCTAGGCATAATAAATGTATATAAGCCATAATAGCAACAGGTGTAAATGAAAATTCTGTCAGCTAACGATCAGTATCCCTCCAACTCTTTACACACACACAGAGAAATAGCATCACCGTACTAACTAATTATCCAATCAATTCATTTAATAGGTAACACACGATGACCGAAAAACATGTTTCACTCGGTGCAATTTAGAGCTCAAGATATTGTAAACACACTTTGCAATTGTTAAAGACACTTAGATGTCTTTTCGTTATTTATTTCGAGGGGTCGCTGTCTTATTGACGCAAACCCGAAACTTTTATTAATACCCAAAATACTAGATACTTTTGGCGATAGGGAGTTCCACTTGACCCGTTTGACCAGTTTGATTATATTTTCAGTAATCTCATATATACATATTAAAGTTTTTAAACAAGCTAACTGTACTTTGAAGCGCGATGTTCAGCCTTAAAAAGTATAGTTCAGTTGTAAAGCAACATCGAGTACTGCAGAAAAATGTTGTACATCTCTGATCTCGTTTCCTTTTAGAATCATGTGCAAAACAGTGTAGCCGAGACCATTGATTGGCGCGCTAAAATATCCCATTGACTGGGTCAGATTAGGTGAACGTTCGTCTGTAACGCCCACAACTCACGACGTATTTATTATAGACATTTAAACTGTGGGGTCACCAAATGGTCTCAACGCCTAAATAAAATAATTCGAAAAACTAATCAGGAATAACCTTTGTGTTTTGATTTATGTTGAATAATTAAACGTTCTTTACTTGTGTTTTTGTTATGTTTTAATAATGAATTTTTATGATATCGGACGTTCTTTCAGCAAAAAAGGATTTGACTGGCTTTAAAAGTTACAATGGATGTGTTGATTATTATCTTTTTTTCGGACGTCAAAGCGATTTAACAATTGCGGTTGTCCAATTATGTCATCTTTTAACTTTTATCTGGTCAAAATTTTATTTTAGAACGAATGCATGATCAGCTTTAAAAAGTGTCCAAACACAAAACATATAGACAAAATATACTTCTTTCCTGTCTGTTTCGTACTTGCAAGTTATTAGACAGTAAAAAGGCTATTTGGATCAAGCTTTGTGAAATTTGCATTTACGTTTTTGAATAGGTGAAATGTATAGTTTGGTGATCTTTTCTGCTAACTACTATACTTGTGAAAAACCCTTGGCAACAGAAACATATTCAGCTTTTTTTTTAATCGACCCAATTTACACAGTAATGGACGACTTCGTACATTTTATGATCGCAAATAAAATATGTATATAATATACTGTGCACTGTAGTTCGTATATATACTGAGACCCTTTGGCAACCCCACAGTTTAAATGTTTATAATAAATACGTCGTGAGTTGTGGGCGTTACAGACGAACGTTCACCTAATCTGACCCAGTCAATGGGATATTTTAGCGTGCCAATCAATGGTCTCGGCTACACTGTTTTGCACATGATTCTATTTGTTTGTCTCGTCCACAACTAGGTTGGCCTAGATACACGCCAGTTGCAAGCTTTAGGTGGGAAAGTACAGGACTATAATTGTTTGATATGATGTCACATTCATGTTCGATGAAACTCCCTATCGTCAAAAGATTTAGTGTTTTGCGTATTAAGGTGGTACCAAACACCTTGACTAAAATTTGGCTCGTTTAATTTTCATACATATTTGACAAAATATCTACTTTGACCCTTTGACAAAAATATAAAAATTTCAAAAGACTTGAACTCCACACTTTATCGGAAAAATTTCATTGGATATATAGCAGTTTGACAAACACCAATTTTGATCATTGAAAAAATTAATATTTCTTTAACAATAGAACGTGATTAAAACGTTCAGTTGATTTTTAAAGAGTTATCTCCCTGTAGTGTTATGTACCACCTTAAAAGATCATCGTATACGCCAATAAAACAGCAAACCCTACGAAAAAATAACTAAAAGACATCTAAGTGTCTTCAACACTTGCCGAGAATGCTTACAATATCTTAAGCTCAGAGTCATACCGAGTCATACAAGTTGTGAATAATTAACATTGACTATCAAAGATCTGCCATTAAAAACAAATGACCAAAAAATGGCAACAACGTTCAGCTACATTGTGTATCAAAAAAAGAACCACAAGTGAGGGTCTCGACATTGGACATTAAGATGTCTTGTCTAATATAATTTGTTTTCTATATTCGTCTGTTAATTAAATAGGACACGGTAGAATATTAAAGATGCTCTTAGATCTATTTTGAATATACCAGTGAAGAGAAAACAAACCTGGGGGAATTGCATCAACTAAAGGCGAATCTAGACCGGTGCCCGTATGTCTACTTCCTTTTGATTTGTTTCGTTTGTTTGTATTATATCCATGTTTGAGCGCCATCTAAGTGCTATACCTACATTAAGGTACATAACTCTTAAAAATCAGTTGCACGTTTGTGTAAACCATTTTCATCAATACATTCGAAGCTTTTAAGTAACGCAGATTATTCTAATTCTTTTAAGAATTGATGGAACTAGATCGTAAAAAGCGTATTTCTTATTTAAATTGTATCTCCTTTTAACCAAGTCTACCTAAAATTGCTTGAGTATTTTCTACATATGAGTTATAATTTCATTTTTAGTATTGCATAATACAATTTATTATTAATTTTCAGTTACTCCAGAAACTATACTGCTCCTGTATAGAATTTCTCAAATGCATGTCTATGGTTATCCATTATAAAAGAAAATGTCAATGCAATTCGTTTTGTTGCTATAATAGTTTAACTTACCATTGTCGCTTGTGAACGTGTTAATACAGACCAGAGAAAATGTAATGAATTTAATCTAAAATAACTCGACCAAGTGATTTAATCTAGAGTGCAGTCATTTGTATCACAATGAAATTAACTTGCATTGAATTTCTTTGCCTTTTATCGTCTTTTAGTGCAGTAATGGCGCATAAAAATCAGTTTCTCGATTATTTTCTCACTTTTGATATGTTTTTTATTAGTTTCAAAACGTTATTGGATGCATGCACACGTGATTTTTTTATAATTCATGTAATTAAGTGTAAACGAGACTAAAATGGATTGATTGTTTGATGTAATGTAACATCTGGTATCAGGCTTTACTGATTCGTTCGTGTAATAAATATCACAATCTAAGGGTACTACGAATGATTTATTACATTTTTTCTTTTAAATATTTTGTTATTTTGTTGATCGTTAATTTATCAATCAACAAGCAGACATTGTAAAAAGAAATTTAAATTGATAAATATGAAATAAAATAATGTCAAATGTATGAAATAGTTGAAAAATCGTGCTTCGTTAAATGATTCGTAGATTTTGGTCGATTGATTGTGTTGTTTTACACCACTTTCTAATCGTCAGCTGTCTTTCATTTTGGTGATGAGTTTCATGAATGGCGAGAGCGATCGACCGCCTTCTGTATGTTACTCGCAAATGTTATCACTTGCGCTGTTGTTTGTCTTATCCACTTTTTTAAAGTTGAGAGCACTTTTTTTTGACGATTCATAATCTCTTACAGTGATCTGTATAACAATTAACCAGACAGGTCCTATAGTAAATTAGAAACCATGAACTAACGTATGATAAGGCTGATGGATTGGTGTTAACATTCAGTGGCAAATATTACAATGTATATCAGGACGAGAATTAAATGTGTAAAAGTGATATGAATGTTAACCTTGACCGACATACTGAGTCAGTTTCTATCATGCTAATTCACAATGTAACAGTCAGACAGGAAGTCGACCAGTCTTTAGTCTTAATCCTAGCCACCACGTAAAATTGAGAATGTAAATTGGGAATGTGTCAAAGAGACAACAACCCGACCATAGAGCAGACAACAGCCGAAGGCCACCAATGGGTCTTCAATGCAGCGAGACACTCCCGCACCCGGAGGCGTCCTTCAGCTGGCCCCTAAACAAATATGTATACTAGTTCAGTGATAATGGACGTCATACTAAACTCCAAATTATACACAAGAAACTAAAATTAAAAATGATACAAGACTAGCAAAGGCCAGAGGCTCCTGACTTGGGACAGGCGCAAAAATGCGGCGGGGTTAAACATGTTTTTTGAGATCTCAACCCTCCCCCTATACCTCTAGCCAATGTAGAAAAAACAAACGTACAACAGTACGCACAGTAAAACTCAGTTTAAGAGAAGTCCGAGTCCGATGTCAGAATAGGAAACAAAAGAAAATAAACAAAATGACAATAATACATAAATAACAACAGACTACTAGCAGTTACTGACATGCCAGCTCCAGACCTCAATTAAACTGATTGAAAGATTATGTCTTCATCATTTCATCATATGAATATCAGGCACAATCCCTCCTGTTAGGGGTTTAGTATTATACCATCATAACATATATGAAAAGAACATAACCCGTGTCATGCCAACAACTGGTTTTAGAATAAATATGTTTAATTCCGATGCAAAGACCCTATAAGTGAATCAATATTAAAGCCAAAATATACAATCTTTAATGACCTGACAACAGTATCGTAACTATATCCCTCGTTAATAAGTCTGTTTAAAGGTTTTGTTAGCTTTTGAGGTGAATACTGACATTTTTGTGCTTTGTAAAGAATATTACCATAAAAGATTGGATGTGAAATACCCGAACGTATAAGATGTCTGCATGTTGAGTTATATTTACGAATGATGTCCTTATGCCGATTATAAAATTTAGTAAATGTTTTGACTAGTTTATGATATCGAAAACCCTGGTGTAATAATTTTTCAGTAATACATAAATTTCTTTCGCTAAATCTAATACGTTGTTACATACACGAGCGAATCGTACAAGTTGAGATAAATAAACACCATAAGATGGTGACAATGGAACGTCACCATCTAAAAATGGATAATTAACGATAGGAAATGAAAAATCATCTCTTTTATCATAAATTTTTGTATTAAGCTTCCCGTTAATGATATAGATATCAAGATCGAGGAAAGGACAGTGGTCATTGTTAGTTTTAGCTTTATTTAAAGTAAGTTCAACAGGATAAATTTCTTTAGTATACATACTGAAGTCGTCATTATTGAGAGCCAATATATCATCCAAATATCTAAAAGTATCGTTAAATTTTTGTATCAGATGTTGTTTCGATGGGTCTTTGCTGATTTTAGTCATAAATTGTAACTCATAACAATACAAAAACAGGTCCACAATAAGTGGTGCACAGTTAGTCCCCATTTGAATTCCGATAACTTGACGATATACGGAATCTCCAAAGCGAACAGAAATGTTATCAAGTAAAAATTCAAGGGCAGATATAGTATCAAAGCATGTCCAATTGACATAGCTCTTTTGTTTGTTGCTACTAAAAATGGCCTAAAAGAGTTTGAACATATATATTCGCATTCCGACTTTTTAAATGCCCATTTATTTAGGTGTGTGAATTTTTTCTTAATAAGAATATGAGGCAAAGTGGTATATAGGGTAGAAAAATCAAAACTTTGAACAGATTCAAAATCACCAATATATGCATGCAATTTATCAAGTACTTCCAACGAGTTTTTGACACTCCAAAAGTAGTTAATTCCACTATTTTCAAAGGCCTCATTTGAACAATTTATTATCAGGTTTTTGATTGTACTAAGTGTACTAGTAAGCAGAATAGACAATTTAGTAGTGGAACAATAACTTGAAGACGAAATAAATCTATATTTGTAAGGTGATTTGTGTAGCTTCGGAAGCCAGTACATAGTTGGGACTTTCATTGTGTTTGGTTCTGCTTGTAAAGAAGTAGCTAGTAGTTTATGTTTGTTGCAGATATCGTTTTCTGAAAATGAAGTCAGTTGGAATGTTGGTGAATTCGTGATTTCCTTTTGCAAAACCTCAATGTAAAATTTACGTTAAACTATAATGATATTATTAGCAGCTTTATCAGCGTGGACAAAAACAAATTCCTTGGCTAGTTCTTTTAGTTTATGTTTGATACGAGAAATAGGATTTTTATGGTTGTTGTTAAGAGTAAAATGTTCTTTAAAATGTTGTATACGTATATCAACTATCTTCATTACTGAATTAAAAAAAGAGTCCAAAGATTTTTTGTCAGCTTTTTCCCGTTTTATCCCGTGCTTGTTAAAGAAGTAGCAAATACCACTTTTCAAGTCTTTGGTTGACACAGTCGTTAACCGAACCTAGAACCTCCCATACTTGAGGCCAACACGCTACCACGAGATCACTGAGACGGTTGAACGAACGTTAATCTGGTGCTTGAATGTCAAAAAGTGTAAAATCAAATGCATTCAATACATTCCAAAAATAATTTTGCATATATTAACATAAGAAAATTATATATAATTTGGCATTAAATTGGAATAAATACTTTTTATTTTCATAATTCTACATTTTCCTATTTGCGAGGATCTATGACAGCCATTCTCCAAATGTTCTACCATATGATACAATTCAAACATTTGTCAGTAACTTTTACTTTCGACTTTTGAAAGTACTTTGCACTTTTCTTAACAGATAAATTATAAAAAAACAAACTTTCATTTTAGAAGTATCAAGCCGAAGTGCTAATAACTAAGTTGTTTACTCTATCATTCACTAATTGTAAAATCTTAAACTAACTAGGCACAAATGTATAAGGGTCTGGATAGGGATTCCTTCATTTATGTATTCTTTAATATTTAAGGTAATTTTCTCTATTCTTTCATATTTTTGTCCATTTTTTTATTTCTATTCTTTATATTTAATCATCCCAATATTCCCTTTTCTTTATTGTATTTGATTGTTTGAGTGTTTATTGATTTGGTACATAGATCTCTATTCTGTAAACCCCATCCAGACCCTCATATGTAACATGTATAAACCACTAAGGCAGATACTTTGCTCGACGTATAAATATTTTGTTCAGCAGCATTGCAATGATTTTGGTCTTTCGAGAGTAGCACAATCTGTTTGATTAACATTTATGTTAATTTATTGTTTATTTTATTCTAATATATTTTCAATTTATTTATTTATGTTCATTTGTATATAAGATTTGGTATGATTGCGAATGAACTATACGTCACAGTTTAGCCTTCAACAATGTATTGTATTTACATGTATTTATGATAACACCGCGTTTTATTTCGTACATATACAATATTCCTGAGTGTACCACTCCACACTAACCATTAAAAATTTTTAATTGATGGTAATATTAATGTTTCTTTTATTCTCTGTCAAACTCAGCATCCATCAAATTAATTAATTTTATGGGGAAGATACGGTAAGTTTATTACAATAGTTGTTTGATGGTGGTCTGAGGTAGCTGGTATAATGTTTTGTTAACTTTCTCATGAACTTGAATGCACGTGTTCCTAATATAATTTTTGTCAGCTTAATATTTTACTTCTATCAGTGGCTTCTAGAGTTTAATAGTAATAGTTGAGTGATATCGAACAAACCTAACAGCCTCCCCGTCACCACCGAATTTCATGGAGATGATGTGCCTTTTTTTTTGCTTACCGTTATATGTTAATTAAAAAATATTAAGGCTAAAGACATAAAATCATTTTGTATTTCTGAGTTGTGAGGGTGCCAAAGTATTTTCAATGAGGAATAGCTATCATCTTGATTGCTTAGCACCTCTATTTGACGTCGGTCTATCCTCGCCAAGATCTACACGCAATACTACGTAGAAAATAAAGTTATGCTTTACCGCTCGGGAACTGCTAGATTAAGTACTCTGGTAGTCGTACCCATCATGTGTATGCACATACTCCTATGGTGATGTATTTCTGTCAGAGATTTGCGGCTAGCGCAGGCACAGTATTTTAGCGGTAAATTATGTTTAATAATCTGAATACACAAGTTGTCATTTAACGTACTATAAGCTGCACAGCATGTGTTTCGTCTCAACTGCGTGTGTTTCGTCTCAACTGCGTGGCATATAGTTTGT